TTTTTTTTTTTTTTTTTTTTTTTTTTTTTTCTGTACGCTAGCAGTATAATGAACTCACCAAAGAAAAATATATCGTAGAATGAGAAATGATAATAATTAGTTAAATTTATTAAAAAATATATATAATTTGGTAAATCACATATTCTATGCGATGATTATTTTTCATTAACTGTTCTCATCGAGAAATAGTCATTTGTTACCTTTGCTCGATAAAATCTACTTGTTAGTTGTGATATGCTACTTGTTATCTATTACTCCTAGTTATTACACTCATTAGAATTTAGAGATGATAAGAAAATTTACATTTAGGATTGAGGTCCGCTATGAAGTTTAAATAAATAATTGAATGATTATCTATTTAGAGCGTGTTTGGAAAACTGTTTTTCGAAAATGTAAAAATATACTTTTCAAAGCACTAAAATATAAAGTAACTATTTTTATGACGTATGTTTGTCAAATTTTAACAATAAAACAAATACACACTTAGTAATGTGATGAGAATAGATAGTAAAACACTCATACTTACATTTTAAAAATAATAAAAATACTCTTTATTATTATATAAAGTAATTTAGTTTAATTTATTTTTATACTAAATATGTGTCAATTATTTGAATATTATCTTTTTTATCGTAAAATCATCAATAATCCATTCATAATAAGATTCTTTACAAAATTATTTTAAATAAAAATTTAAACTGACCATTAATTCTTTCTTGTATTAACAAAATGGAGATTGAAGCATCTTCTTTGACCATACCTACAAATGATATGCAATATAGTTAATTATGTTTCATATAAATAACATCTAAAATATTTGTAGATTTATTGATTAAAATAATAAATCTCACCCAAAATACAAGTACATATGAATTCATAATCCTATTTTTGTGATCTTAAGATAACATTACATTAAAGACAACCATCATTACTATTTGGACACTTTAAAGACTACCTTCAAACTAGATTCAATGACACAAAAAGTCTGTCGTGCATTCACTGAATAATGCTTTATAGCCATATGCACATTAGTCTTAGTGTGAAATCTCAACCTAACATAAAGTTCGTCCCCCATACAATTTTCAAAGTTTCACTTTTTTGTCTTATAAAAGTGTCGGTCATTTTAAAATCTAATAAGGTCTTTAAATATTGATTCCACTTTAATCTTTTTTTAAAATGTTTTAAATTACAATCAAATTTGATACAATTTTCCACCTAAAGTCTCAAGATAAAATTGTATTAATAACTAAAAAGATAAATAAATTATTAAAGCATTCTTATTTTTCGTAAAGACAATTAAAATAAAATTTCATATTAAATTCAAATAAGATTTTAAGTTAAAAAAACCAGTTTTTAACTAAATACCTATGAATCAACTAGCCAAGATACTTAGTTATTATTTACTTAAAGATATCCAAAGCTATATTCTAGTATATCCAAATCTTCTTACTCTATCCAAACTAGAAAATGCTTAAGTGGGTATCAACTCTTATGTACACCCAAATGAGCATTGAAATGTGTAAGGCTAATTATAGAGCCATATTAAAAATGTATTTGATTTATTTTTAAATGTCAACAATTGATTGAGAAAAAAATTATGCATTTCTAGATTCAATAATTAAATACAAAATATTTTTCACAAAGTATCAAGGGTTATAACCTATGTTTTTAAAATCTAACTAAATTGATTGAAAAATTAGTAAATTAGTCACCTAACCAGTTCAAAAGAACTACTAAATGGACCCAACATAAACCTAATGAAAAAACCCAAAAATTGGTCAAGAACTAGTTTTTAATGGCTCAACTAATTTTCTTAAAACTACTTTTTTTCTCAAATTTTTCTATAAAAAAAAAAAAGAAAATCAACATAAAATATTTGTCATTTTTTGTTATTATTATAAATATGAACATATATGTTTGTTGGACAAGTAGCCTCGTATAATTTAAGAGGGGGGGGTGAATTAAGTTAACCAATTTTTTAATCTTTTATGAGTTTTTAGAATTGCTTTCTAATAACTTCAATTTCTTAGACCAATTGTATGTAAAGTTTATTGATGCAAAACTACTCAAACTCAATTAAATAACAAGTAATTAAAAGTGTAGGG